ACTTCCTGAAGTAACCGGTTCCATTGTCATACTGCCCTAACAGTTAAGAAACCTTCCCTCGATTGTCATACTGCTCTAACAGTTAAGAAACCTTCCCTCATATTCAGTCGAAATCTGGCTTCCTGTAATTTGAGGATTGTATTACATGTCTTGCAGTCTGGGATCATAAAGAACAGACCCAGCCCCTCCTTTGTATGGCAAACTTTCAAGGATTTGAAAAATGCTATCAAAAGTGCTCCCCCTCAGACTTCTTTTCTCAAGGCTGAACATAACCAGTTCTTTCAGTCTTTCCTTACAGTCTTCTGAAAATCTTTGTTGCCTCCTCTGAACTTGTTCCAGTTTCTTAGTGTCCTTCTTCAAATGCAGTGTCCAGAACTTAACACAGTACTCAAAATGAGACTTAACCGGTGCTGAATAAAAGGGATGTAATACTACTTCATGGGATTTGGAAACTATTCTTCTGTTAGTGCAGGCTATAATAGCATTGGCCTTTTTTTGCATCCACATCACACTGCTGACTCATACTTAGATTGTGATCTACAACAATTCCAAGATCCAGTATCTCTCATCTTGTAACTGTGCTTTTGGTTGTTTCTTTGTAGGTGTAGAACTTTGGACTGTTCCCTGTTACATTTCATTTTGTCGTTTTGTGCCCTGTATATGAGTCTTCAGGCTATAATAGCATTGGCCTTTTTTTGCATCCACATCACACTGCTGACTCATACTTAGATTGTGATCTACAACAATTCCAAGATCCAGTATCTCTCATCTTGTAACTGTGCTTTTGGTTGTTTCTTTGTAGGTGTAGAACTTTGGACTGTTCCCTGTTACATTTCATTTTGTTGTTTTGTGCCCTGTATATGAGTCTATCAAGACCTTTTTGAATTTTGTTTCTGTTTTTCATGGTATTAGTTATTCCACCCAATGTTGTGTCATCTACCATTTGATCAGCATTTTCTGCATCACCTCATCCAAGTCATTAATAAAAATGTTGAAGAGCACTGGGCCCAAGACTGAACCCCACTTGTTACCTCCTCCCAGTTTGGGAAGGATGCATTAATAAATATTCTCTGAGACCCACTGTAACCAATTCTGGATCCACCTGACAGTTGCTCTACTAAGCCCACACTTAGTTAGCTTGCTAATTAAATATCATTGGCCACTTCATCAAATGCTTTCCTGAAGTTAATCTATATTATGTCTACAGCATTCCTGCTGTCTGCCTGGGAGTTGACCCAATCAATAAATGAGATAAGATTAGTTTCCCCTTGTCTTCTAGTTAGTATGGAATTGTTTTCAGGATTCTTGCAGAGAGGCCACTTTTAATCTGCTCCAGAATTTTCCCTGGGATGGATGCTAGGATGGCTGGTCTGTAGTTCCCAGGTTCCTCCTTTTTGCCCTTTTGAAGACAGGACAACATGAACCGTCCTCCTACCATCTGGCACTTCACACATTCAAGAAAATAATACACAGTGGTTTTGAGAGTAACTCAGCCATCACTTCATTGTTGATAAAGGGTATTATGCATGCGTTCAGCATTGTATCCCCTTTCCTTGAAATAATTCATGTAAATGATGTATTCCAAATGAACAAGGTCCGCCCCCCCCAATAACAGAAATAAATGATTGAACTTTCACATGAATAAATATTTAATTTTGTAGAGAATAACATAAATATTGTATTTGGAGATTCTAGAACATCACATTAAAATTGCAAGACATTTCCATTATCCCTTTATAATGGAATGTGAAATTGGAAGCTAGTTTAAGAAATTATTAATTTTTTAAAAAACCACAACTTATCTTCCTTTTGTCTTCTCAGCATCTTAGAGGCACATGGTGGTTTGTGTATCTTAGCCTCATTTTTTTGTTGAATTAGGTCTGTGACATGGTTCATTTTCTTTCCCAGCTTTGTTCTTTTTAAACAATAAATTCTAATCAAGGATAAGGCTGCTGATTGTTCAGATGCCAAAGTTTCATGAGACCTAAAAGAGTACAAAGGAATTTTTAGTGCTCTCTCTCTCTATATATAAGATTTTCTTTTAAGTTCACATTCAGACCATTACCCAAATATGTGGAGGATATAAATATATCTTAGTTGATACTGGTGGATGGCACATCTGTTCTCTGGCGGAGAGAACAAATTAGGCGGAGCAAGGCAGCCACTTCATGCAACAGAAGCTGGGGAAGCAGTCATAGGAACCCTGGCACCAAGACATGCTCCTGCAGCAGAGCTTGGAAAGTTAGGCCTAAATCCAGTTATTCATCCAAAACAAGTAGACTACCTAAATCCATAGAATGTATCTGTTGACTTCCAAATTCTCACTAAGCCAATCAGAGGAAGTCAACACTTCTTAAAGTGTTTTCAAAAGTAATTCCTACTGCCTGGTAACAGCATCTGGAAAGCAACTCATTATCACTCCCAAGAATGCTCAGAACATGACATGTTTTGCTGCTCATATCTTTCTCATTAATTTCCATTACCTTTTAAAATACAGACTTTAAGATACATAATGACATAAAACTTGAACAGTTCTTGTTAAAATGTCTCTAAAAGGTTCTCAAAGAGCACCTTCTGAAACGAACTAGAAAATATTCACTGCATTGGAAGGGGCCTACAAGGCCATCAAGTCCAACCCCCTGTTTAAGGCAGGAATACAACCAAAGGAGATCTGCCAGGTAACTACCTGAGTTTTTCTTACAATGCCTCCGGTGTTGGAGTACTCACCAGCTCCCAAGGGAACTGGTTCCATTGTTGTGCTGCTCTAACAGTTAGGACATTTTTCCTGATATTCCACTGAAATCTGGCTTCCGTTAACTTTAGCCCATGGTTGCGCGTCCTGCACTCTGGGGTGATCGAGAACAGATCTTGCCCCTCCTTTGTATGACAGCCTTTCAATTGTTTGAAATGTGCTAACATATCACCCCTCAAGTCTTCTTTTCTCAAGGCTAAACATGCCCAATTCTTTCAGCCTTTCCTAATAAGTCTTGGTTTCCAGCCAATCATCCTTGTTGCCGTCCTCCATCTTGGTTTCCAGCCAATCATCCTTGTTGCTGTCCTCTGAACTGGACACATTACTCAAGATGAGGCCTAACCAGTGCTGAATATAGTGGAACTAGCACATCACACTATTCATTCATTTATTTATTTATTAAATTTATACCCCACCCGTCTAGACCGAAGTCTACTCTGGGCAGCTAACATTAATAGATATAATAAAAACATATAATAAAATAAAATATCCAGTAGTAATATGGTTCAAGATGGGGAAAAAATATTCAAGTGGTGGCAGGAGGGAAAGCCTGCCTAAAGAGCCAGGTCTTAAGTTTGCTCTCAAAAACACCCAACGAGGGAGCCAGACAGATCTCTGGGGACAGACTGTTCCAAACGCCAGGGGCCACTGCCAAGAAGGCCCGGTTTCTTATTGTTTCCCTCTGGGCCTCCCTCAGCGTTAGGCCCCTCAGCCGCCCTTCTTGGTATTATCTGCAAAGTTGACAAGCATTCCCTGCACTCCCTCATCCAAGTCATTAATAAAACTATTGAAGAGCACCAGGCCCAGGACTTAGCCTTGGACTACCGCACTTATTACCTCCTCCCAGCAGTTAGAGAAGGACCCATTAATCATCACCCTCTGAGTACGATTCTGTAGCCAATTGTGTGGATAGATCAACCTAACACTTGATCTATCCAGCCCACACCTAGCTAGCTTGCTAATCAGGATATCATGGGGCGCTTTGTCAAAAGCTTTGCTGAAGTAAAGATATACTACATCTACAGCATTCCCTCTGTCTATCAGGGAGGTTACTTGATTCAAAAACAAGATCAAATTAGTTTGGCAGGATTTGTACTTGACAAATCTATGGTGGCTTCTAGTTGTTACTTCATTGTTTTCTAGGTACTTGCACAATGACCGCTTTACAGTCTGTTCCAGAATTTTGCCTGGGATTAATATCAGGCTCACTGGCCTGTAGTTCCCAGGTTCCTCTTTTTTGCCCTTTTTCCTCCACTCCAGTGTTTTGGTTTTCTTCCATCAGCAGTGCCCCCTCCGACAGCTGCTGCTGCTCAAGAGTTCTCTCAGTGTAGGCTTCATCTTCCCTTATGTCTTGAGTGTGGCTACTTCCTGCTCCAGATCTCATAACTTTCTCTTCTAACAGTGCCACATGTTTACACTTGTTACATGCATACAGCATTTTACACTCAGGTACAAAGACAAACATAGCACAAACTTTGCAGGTAACCACAACTAGATTGTCTCCACCCTCCATAATCCCTTCTAGCTTTTTTACTTTCAACTGTTTGTTTAGGATACCTGTCCCTCTTGTTTTGTTAGTTTAAATGTAGTGGTACATATACCCAAAGGAACAAAAAAAAAAGAAATTGTTAGGGGCCTCCCCCCTTGGCCTCCTGCAGCAAACTCCCTGTTTGCGAGCTCTGGTCACAAGCTCCCTGGGTCTGCCTTGAGCTTTATTCCTCGGCTCGGCTCTGCCTGGAGTCAGGAATCAAAAAGCCCTCCCCGATTCGGCTCGGCTCTGCCTGGAGTCAGGAATCGAAAAGCCCTCCCCGAACTCTCAGCTGCTACTTACAGTCCTCAGCAGTAATTAGGACTCTCCCGTTTCTGTTAAGCCGATCACATGGCTCTTACTTTGAAATGTAACTTCATTGCATTATCTTTGCCCCCAAAAGTTAAAAAAGAAGTTACTTGCAGCTCATTTTTTCCTAAGCTCTGTCCTCAGACCTAACTCACTACCTGCTAACAGCTTTGCTTGGCACCCGTCATGCCACTGCCTTGTCTTCAAGTGCGGTTGACAACCTTCCTGTTGAGTTGTCAGTGTGATCACGGAATGGGGAAGGAGGAGTGATCTTGTATTTCACCTCAGAAAGCAAAAGATAACTGATATCAAGAGGGGGTTCTATTTAGTAATTTTGTGTCCTCTTTCTGTTTTAGTACTTGTAAAAACAGAACATGTAATATTTCTTTTTTTTTCCCCTCTTCTTTTTAGGTTTATTAGAAAACAGGGTCTGGATAGGCTTTTCCTGGAATGTGATACACATATGTGGCGCCTTGGGGACCGGAAAATTCCAGAAGGAATCACCGTCGATGGTGGTTCAGACTGGTTTTTGCTGAACAGGAAGTTTGTGGAATATGTCACATTTTCAAATGATGACCTGGTGACAAAGATGAAGAGATTCTACTCTTATACATTACTTCCAGCTGAGGTAGGCAAACTTATGTGCTCTCTCTTTCTCAGTCTCTCTCTCACACACACTCAATCTCTCTCTCTCTCTCTCTCTCTCTCTCTCTCTCACACACACACACACACACACACACACACACACACACACACACACACATACACACACACGGTGTACATGTCCTAAGTGTTTAGTGTCATGAGACATACACCCCTTTTCTTGCTTTCTTGCAATCTGTCTTAAATATATTCTTTGTCTTTGATGATGCCAGATGAGTACTCTCTGGGAATTACAGCTCTCAGCATTTGAAACTGTAGCAAAATTTTGCCTATATGTACAGGACAGCCTTCCTCAATCTTACCATGTTAATGAAAGGACATGTCACTAAAATCACACTATTTTTAGTGGAATTTTTAACATGTATACGTTACTGAAACAATGACGTCTATGCTGGCTTGGGCATGTTGTGAGAATGGCTGATGGTCAGATTCCAAAAGATCTCCTAGTGCAGTGAAATCGCCCCAGAGGGAGACCCCAGCTGCAATGCAAGGAGATCTGCAAGCAGGATCTGAAGGCCTTATTAATGGACCTCAACAGATGGGAAATCTTGATCTCTGAGCATTCATCCAGTGTGGAAGCGATTTTCACTCTCGAATTGGCTTTCTCAGCCACACTAGACGCTGTTCCAAGTGCTCTATTCAGAGCATGTTACCATAGTCTCTCGAGACTGAAGGATGCCTGATCTAAAATAGTACCACTTTTGCCTTGAAAGCAAAACAGCTGAAGTGCCTCATAAACTTTTACTTGTCAAACATTCATTTATTTTTAATGTACAGTATTTAGAATTATATTGTTATAGAGTTGGAAGAAGCACTAATGATCCACCAGTCCAAACCCTGCAAAAACAGGAATTCACAACTGAAGAGCATAACAATAAAAATTTAGTTAAAATATATGGCCAAAATCTTATTGAGATTTTACACCAGTATTACATAATTAGTGTATCCTTTATTTATTGGCAGATTGCCACAAATTAATAAGTTTGTGTAGGCATATGATACAATATCAGCTGTAACCTGATATTTATTTAAACACTAAATGTTTAAACTAATTTTCTTAATTCATGACAGTAGCCAACATGAGTTACACCAATTGTGTTATGCAGGCAGGCGTAACCAGTAGGATTTTGGCCTATTTAAATTTATTGAAAACATTTCTCCCCTCCACTTTTCTACCACTACTGTATCTCAGAGCAGCTGGTGACAAGATGCAGAGAGGACTGAAATAAAATTAGTAATGGAACAGAAGTATAAAAGGGCAGAGCGGGGGGGGGGGAATATTCAAAACGGCCAATCACTTACTGAAAAAACGCAGATTCCTCTACTCGGCCTCTCCTGCCTCTTGCCGAGGAAACCCTCCAGAATTGTCAAAAGCAGGATCTTCTCCAAGTTTTAGATGTTCCCTGGCAAAACCTTACTTATTTATTGCAGTATTAAGCCACTGACTAAATGACTTGTGCCAATCATCTTTAGTAATATTTTCTTTAGAGCAATGTGAGAACTACAGGATAATTATGTTGCAGTCACATTTGTTTGGAAAATTTGGATTCATTTCAGTTCATATTAAAATGGAAATCAAATTAATAACAACTTACATAGTTTTATAGATAAGTTAAACACATATTAGGTATATGCACTGAGACCAAACAATCCACAGAGTCCACAGAAAAATAATACTTATTTTTATTCTTTAATAAATGAAAGTAATGGTCTGTGTTTGTAATTAAGGAGTCTGCAATTAGGATGCCAGGTTCCAGAGTTCTTCTGATTTCCAAAAAGTGTTTTCTAGTGGCAGGTGTGAGAAGGGTAATGATGGTGATAACCGTGGTGCTGATAATCTCGGAAAGAGTCAGTAATGATATCACCTTATGTGATCGGTATATTATCCTGTAACTGTGCTAGATGTATTCTTATGGTTTTATACCACAATAAAGTTCATTCATTCAGCTGAAAGTTTTGAATATAAAAGCTTACCAGTCTAGTTCAGTTTCCAAGAAGTTGTATTAGAGGCTCTTTTAACAAAGATTTCTATAGACTGTTCTCTTTAACCCCCCCTAAACATTTATGGGCCAAAACAGGTATTTTAATGAAAAACATCACACCTGTAGAATTTGATCTGGCTTGATACATGAGAATTTAGTTCCTGTTAAATTTTGAGGCAGAAGTTGTCCAGATCTGTACATTTCTTCATATTCAAGCTGGGAAGAACTTGAGATTTTTCAAATCCAAGTGTAGGAGAAAATGAAACTGACAAATTTTTCCATCTCTAATTAAGTCTATTATATCCAGGGATAGGACTAGGATATTTCTCATTAGTTGAAGTGGCAATCAAAAGATGTGGGAGATGTCTTGGTAACAACTGCTTTTCTTCTGCAAATGGACCTGAACACATTCAGAATAGGTCCAGATCAACTATCAAAACTCTATTGTCTTTTTCTATACATACATATATCTTGACACCTTCTCCTGTTGCTTTTCAAGGAATAACGCACGGTATATCATTCTTCTCTTTCAATTCTAATAAACTTTTCCTTCACTGTCCTTGCAAAGGCATTCCATTTCCAGTATAAAAGAACACAGGACAGTGGATAATTGGGTAGATTCCCCCCCCCACCCTGTGCCTCTTGCTTGAATGACAATATATGCCTTGATGGGTTTAACTAGTCAAATCAAGCATAAAATCCATATTCAGTGGACTGTCAGTTAATATTAAAAAAGAGGGGCAGAGGAGATTGTCTGCGGGATGGGACAGGTCAGCCATACTAACGTAACTCCCAAGTATTTATAGATCACCCTGGATTTTTACCAAACACGTTGTTTTCGGTTTATTTCACCAATGAAGTCAACCACTTTCCAGCTCCCAGATAAAAGACATCCTTTCTTAGGAATGTATCCCTTTAAAATAAAATAAAATCAAATTTTCCATGTTTACCCTACGCTGCAGCCCTCCGGGATTGTTTCATTACTATTGTTATTCTAATATTAACATTCCACTTTTCCTTCAGGGAGATCACAGCAGTGTTCCTGGTTCTCCTCTTCCCCCATTTTAACCCCACAAGAAACCTGTGAGCTGTGGCTGGCCTAATAATATCTGAGTTTCCCAAGTTGAGCCCCTGAAACACCACCCTGACTCATGAAATTTCCGTTCAGTTGAAACCCCCAGATTGTACTCAAAGGGCATCTCGATTGAGGTCAACCTTTCCTGTACTATATATTCGCGAAGGCTTTCACGGCCAGGATCTAATGCCTGTTCTGGGTTTTTCGGGCTCTTTGGCGATGTTCTGAAGGTTGTTCTTCCTAACGTTTCGCCAGTCTCTGTGGCCGGCATCTTCAGAGGACAGCACTCTGTGCTCTGGTGTAGTTGGCTTTGGGAGTGCCAATTACACCAAAGCACAGGTGTGGGAAGAAAACATGGAGATCTAGGATTCACAGTGAATCACAACAGGATGCTGTGTCTGTGCCAGTGTCTGAGAATTAAGGTGATCACTTGTCCTTCACTTTCCAAAGGTGTCTTAGTTTTTTTTCTTTTTGTTTTTTATAAGTTACTTTTATATTTCATTTTTCTTCCAGCAAATTCAAGGTACATGGCTATTTGCCAATGGCATTTGAGTCTCACAAGAACCCTTGGCAAAATTTAAATGAAAAGAGGGAGGGAGTGCCCCAGAGGCAATACCGTTGCACCTTAAAGGCCAAAAGAGACTTGTTTCAGTGTGAACTTTCATGGATCAAACTCCTTGAGGCAGGGCTGGGGGTGGGAAGATGTCATGGCAAGCTGAGGCTGCAACTGATGGATCGGAAACTGACCGTACAACCCTAGATGTTTGGTCAGGCTGACAAAGTGCAACAGGCACAAGGTGTGTTTTCTGGAGGAGTAAAAATGTGAAGCTGGTTCTCTCATATTCCTAGTCCAACATTCTAGCCACTATACCCTACTACTGCCTCTCTGTTTGAATGCCCGTCCAGTCCAAGTCCAGTTTAAATGTGAAGAAGGGTGTGTTTTCTGGAGGAGTAAAAATGTGACGCTGGTTCTCTCTCATTCCTAGTCCAACACTCTAGCCACTATACAGTACCCTACAACTGCCTCTCTATTTGAATGCCCGTCCAGTCCAAGCCCAGTTTAAATGTGAAGAACTATGAGAAAGGACCACAAAGGGGTCTTGAAGCTTCCTGTGAACACTTAGCAGTCCATGTAACGACAGACTAAACCGCCACATAGATCTGTTAGTCACTGCTTTGCTTGTCTCTGTAGCATCCTGTTCTCTCTAAATGAGAATAATAAAAAGAATAATAATTCCTGCCTAGGCAGGCTATGTACAAAAAACTGTATACCCATTTCTGTGCCTCCTTTTGTTCTTTTCAATGATGCATTTCTTCTTTTCGGCAAGACATAAGCGGCCACCCTTCTTAAGAATGTCCCGGCATAGTGCTGGATCTGCTGGTCCCCCTTATACAGGACTTCAGTAATAGCTGGCATTAGAGTGATGTAATGATAAAGGCTCTGTTGGAATTCCTCCGTGCCTTGAATGGGCAGATAAAGACTTAACCATTTGGGAAATAATTGCAGAAGACAGATTGTCCTTCTGTTGCCTTGAGGGCAAGTTATGTAATTGAGTGTGTGGTCATTTTCAGCTAGCTACAGATTTCAGCTTCCAGGAAAATCAGTACCACTAGAGAGAGAAGAGAGGGGTTAGTCAAATTGTATGTTTGGTTTTCTGTGTTGCTGTTGGTGTTTACTATTTTGCTAACCATAAATTCAGTGGGATATTTGGCCTAGACCTGACATTCACACCGGGAAATTTATCAGCAGGAAAAGGAGCCGCAACCATAATGTTAAAAGGGATATGTTGGGCAACTGAGATAAAGTCTGTGAGTGCTACGTTCCCTTTGGCCCCTCTTCAATGTCATGATTGTAAAGCAGCTTGCTTGCCCAGACTTCTAAAATGTAAAAGCTGTCTTGAGCTGTCTGGCTTCTTCTAGTATTTTTTTCCAAGACAGACAGCAAGAAAGAGAGACCATTTCTGCCTCCACTTCCAGCACCCAATGCAGAAGTATTTTAATATTATAAAATAATGTAAGTTTTTTTTTAAAAAAAAGCAGTTTGTCAAATCTTCAAAACAACAGGGAGAAATTCACTTGAGTCAGTTTTAACTTGCTGAAGAAGGAGGTTAAAACGGATTGAGCAATAAAGTCTTCTACTGCCTTCCTAAAACTGGAAGAGAAGAAGAACAAATGTCACTCATGGGATCATTGCAGATAGAGGATCACATTATCACAGAAATGAATCAAACAACTGTAATACTAAGGGCTCAGATTAAGTATGCAGATTTCTTTATTGTGTTGTTAGCTGCCTAGAGTGGTCCTCACACAACCAGATAGGCGAGATATAAATAAAATAAATAAAATAAATAAATAAAATAAATATTGAAAAATTATATAACTTTACACAAACCAGATAGTCTTCTAATACAGCAAAAATGACACATAATACTCTGGAAGGCTTTCCATGAATAAACTAAGTAAATAAACCTAAACAAAAATCTCAAATTCTGGCAAATGTTAATTTTTGACATACATTTCATTCATTCATTATGTGATTGTTAATCAAAATTACAGTGGTGCCTCACTTGACAATGTTAATTCATTCCACCGAAATCGCTGTAGAGTGAAAATGTCATCAAGCGAAATAAAAAAACCAATTGAAATGCATTAAAAACCAGTTAATGCGTTCCAGTGGGTGAAATACCTAATCGTCCAGCGAAGATCCTCCATATGGCGGCCATTTTCGGGGCCTGTCTTGTGAAAAATGCCTCCTAAAAACCGCAGGGAGCCATTTTGAGCAGCCAGCGGCCATTTTGAAAACCTGACAATCAGCTGTTTTGATCATCATAATGCGAAGAATCAGTTCCAGAAGCAGGGAACCTATTGTCTCAAAGCAATGTTGTCTTAAAACATTGTTGCAATCGCAAAAACATCATTGTGAAGCTGATTCGTCGTTACACGGGGTAATTGTTAAGCGGGGCACAACTGTAATTGTTACGATTTATTATTTATTATCTAGATACTGCTGTTGAGAAACCTGGCTTCTGTTTCTCCATCCAAGCACGTAACAAACGTGGCAAAACATGGAACACAATCTCAGATGCTGGACACAATATCTCCATACACCTACTTTTTAAAAGCCACTTTTACTTTATATTCATGATTCCCCTCTGTCATCCTTATACATTGTTGTGGTAAATTAGGATGAAAGAGAGCTTGCTTCTTTTCATCACACTGTCCCCATCATCTTGTCCCTAAAACAGATCCCCCACTCTACTTAATGGTAAAAACAGACATGAAGTATTGTCTCTTTGGCTGACAGTGACTTTCCAGAGTTTTAGACAGAGGTTTTCTCTGTTGAGTGCTACCTGATCGGCTTTTTGTTTTTTTTTGAAAAGTTAGAGACGCCAGGGATTGAACCAGGGTTTTTCTTTCTTTTTTCTGTCCAAAACATGTTTGTAGTGATCTGCCCAGTGCATCTGAACATCTTTCCCTTCTAAGATCAGCACTGCAGCTGGTTCTTCAGTTTATATGCTTGCACTACTTTCTCGCATGGTTGATTCATTGTGACCCCTGGCTCTAATGTACTGAAAAACTTCTGTTTCTTTTGTTTTCACAGTCTTTCTTCCACACTGTCCTAGAAAACAGCCCTCATTGCAACTCCATGGTGGATAACAATCTGCGGATCACAAACTGGAACCGCAAGCTGGGATGCAAATGCCAGTACAAGAACATTGTGGATTGGTGCGGCTGTTCTCCCAATGATTTCAAACCAGCTGATTTCCACCGATTCCAGGTCAGTAATAAGAATGGAACTTATAATTCTGTTTTCACCATGACTCTCAGAATTTGGTAAGAATTCTCCCAGCCATATTTCTAGTAGTTGTAGACAAAAACTCCCAAGTCCACAGAGGAGTTTCAACACATACCCATGTGCCTCAGCAAGTCTTTCTGTGGAGCAACACAGAAAGAAGTAGGAAGGAGTGACAGTGGCTAAACTCCATGGAAACTACAAGGGATTAGGGAACTAGTAGTCTCTCCGCTCATTAGGCTATCTACAGACTGCCTCTAAAAAAACTACCAGTCTCCTAATCTAAAAATGCCAGTGAGGAGTTGGCTGGTTAGACTTCTACTGTCTGAGGTCCCTCCTGAGCACTGGAAACTATTCTATAGCAAGGAAGACTTTTGGTTCATCTATCATAAGGATGTTTTTTTTTCATTTGGCAAGTGTGGGTACTAAGTTTTCATGCTCATGATCCACCGTGGGCCAAATCATTACCATTGCCTGCAATCTAGTTGTCTCCAGTGAGGAGTTGGCTGGTTAGACTTCTACTGTCTGAGGTCCCTCCTGAGCACTGGAAACTATTCTATAGCAAGGAAGACTTTTGGTTCATCTATCATAAGGATGTTTTTTTTTCATTTGGCAAGTGTGGGTACTAAGTTTTCATGCTCATGATCCACCATGGGCCAAATCATTACCATTGCCTACAATCTAGTTGTCTCAACTAGAGTAAACTCACTGAATCAGTGGAATTTGTGTAACTGCAGTGATTCAGCGGTTCTCCTCTAGTAAAATGTAATGATTAGATGTACACAACTGGCAAGAATCCTATTGCAAAACACCACACTTGAAAGAGGAATACAGTGGTGCCTCGCTTAACGAGCACATTGTTTAACAACGAATCCGCATAGCAATGTTTTTTGCAATCGTTTTTGCGATCGCATTACAATGTTTTAAATGGTAAAACATCGCTTTGTGGCGATCGGTAAGCTGTTTTAAGAACAGCTGATCGGTGGTTCCAAAATGGCCATGGGTAAAAAAAATGGCCGCCCGCTGTGTTTTCGCACCCATTCCTCGCTTACCGGGCAGTGAAAATGGCAGCCACATGGAGGATTTTTGCATAACGGTGAGTTTTTTGCCCATAGGAACGCATTAAACGTGTTTTAATGCAGTCCTATGGGCTTTTTTGTTCCGCATAGCGACGAATCCGTATAGCGACGTTTTTTCCGGAACGGATTATCGTTGCTATGCGGGGCACCACTGTAATACAAACACTTTTCATAATTTTTTGGGTATCGCACACCCTGAGGGATGCAACCAAGTACACAATCAAGCACATTGCTCGGCGTGGACAAGCATGTGACAGAAAGATGGAATGACTGCACACATCAGTTAAAATGTTTTGCTTTGTATGCTATGCGAACCAAATAGAATTTGTGCCACTATTTTTAAAAGTAATTTTTACATTATCCATTATGTTACACGTTGGGTTTTGTTATTTTTTTCATTAACCTTTTGTGGATTTAAAAAAACCCTCACAACTGATAAGAAAATTGCATAAACTATTATTTTGTTAATCCTTTCGTTTCATTTTAATGCTGCCTGTCTCCCAGTGAAGGAACTCAAAACTTGAAAAATGCTGCTCTAAATGCCAAAAATACTTTAAAATGGTAACTTTGAAAAGCAACTGGAGAATATTACTTATTACACACAGAGAGAAGCCAATAAAAACCCATTGTTCTCACTCAGGGTGTTGCTCTTGGATTGTGACTGATAGGATTGCTCCATTTTGTTTCAGTTCCAGCATATGTAATTTCTGGGATAGACCCAAAGTGGGTGGCTTAAGCTTCTTAAGCCACTTTATGATCTTGGGAAAGTGAATGCCTCATCCCACTTCCTTGAGGAGAGGAAAAGAGAGGAAGCAGAAGTAATTTTTTTAAAAGTCCTAAGACAGTGCTGATGCCGCATGTCAGGAAAAAAAACCTGAAAGCTTCCTCACCCCTTGAATGGGGGAGTGGGAAGAAGCTTTCAGTTTCCACTGATCATGAAGTGGCTTCGGCAAAGCACATAAAAGGAGACAAGAAGGTACAAAGTGAAAAATTGTGGTCATCATTTTTCTTTCCATTTAAAGACCTCCTTTAATGGGAAAGAAGGGCAAATAGGGCTGCTTGAGGTCCGGCATAGTTAAGCCTTGCATATGGAGGCAGGGATCACCCTGGGTGACATAACACACCTCAAAACAACCCTATGTAGCATCATCCACCTCAATCCAGGGACAATTTTGCTATCTAGTTGCACCTTAAATTACTTGTGACACATTTTTTGCAAGGTTTAGGTTTAGGGGCCCAGGATAAGCTATGTGACAAAGAGGACAAACAGTGGGGTACAGGAGAACAATCAGAGAGCAGACATGTCTCCTCCACCACAGTTGGCTGCTTGAGGCCCTCACTAAAGTGGGAAACATTACAGATGTGTAGAAACCTCTTGACTGCAGACTTCTCTGTGCATCGTGGCTCTTATAAGGTACAAGTGAGCTGGTGGCACAAACACAGCCAAATATCACAGCCCTTCAAATAAGCTTCTCTCCCTGTTGGGAATGTCCCCTGGCTTGCAAACAGCCTGGCTCCAAATCAAGAGAATAAACAGGATCTGGCAGTGAATTTCAAGCTACGTTATTGGCTTTTCAGAAGGCATGTTGCACCTCCCCAGCTTGGCAAGACACTCCTCACGGCTGCTGTGTTTTTTAAAAAAATGTGAAGAAAATAAAATAAACTGGACACTTTTACAAGCTAGCAGAGCAGAGTTAAAGAAGCACATAAAATCAGGACAGGCATTCCAGGGCAAAGCTTAGGAAAGTTAAGGGACCAAATAGAGAGCACAGCCACCACCAGCAAATTTTTCCTGTCACAACAAGTCATCCAGTCATACAGAGTTTGCAACTATTAATTAATGGGACCCATCTCTAACCGTCTAGCAGCAAAATTCATGTGATGTCATTAAGAAAACACTTCAAGGATTTGTTATTGTTGTTTAGTCAGTAAAAGACATAGCAGAGGAATATTTTAGCAGTAGGGGGAGGTTAGCCCTTCTTTCCCCAGCTCTGACCTTAATGAAGATTGTTCCCCTCTTGTGCTCCTGCTAGCTTTGGGAGGTGCAAATTCCTCCTCTTCCCCCACCTCCTTCTCAGTTTATTGAAATCCATGGCTCCTCTCTATACAGAATGCCAAAATAATTAAGAGGAGTGTACAAAAAACAGCCCTGAAAATATACATTGTGCTTTAAAATGAATGCCCTAGGGCAGCAATGGCAAACCTATGGCACATGTTGGGGAAATCTAGAGCTTGATATGTACACAGAATTTTTTTGTCTCTCCTAAGTGGCTTCCTTTGAAAAGAAGGGGTGTGGTAGCGCTGCAGGTTAAACCGCAGAAGCCTCTGTGCTGCAAGGTCGGAAGACCAGCAGTTGTAACATCAAATCCACGTGACAGAGTGAGCTCCCGTCACTTTGTCCCAGCTTCTGTCAATCTAGCCATTCGAAAGCATGCAAATGTGAGTAGATAAATAGGTACCACCTCGGTGGGAAGGTAACGGCGTTTTGTGCCTAGTCACACTGGCCACGTGACCACAGAACTGTCTATCGATAAACGCTGACTCTACAGCTTGGAAACGGGGATGAGCACCGCGCCCTAGAGTCGGACACGACTGGACTAAATGTCAAGGGGAACCTTTACCTTTACCTAAGTGGTTTCCTTTGGAATGGCAATCTTTAAGGGAAAGAGATGATCAGGATTTTGAATGTTTCATTCCCTATGCTGAGATGAATCTCCCACCTTCTCTGTCTCACACTCTCTAGCACTACTTCCAGGAATTTCACCATCAGTATCTTTGTAACTGTGATTTTTCTCCAATGACAATGTAAATTTAGGATTTGTTGAAACTGGAGCTCTTGACTCTTCCATTTTGATCACAGCAAGTGGCATAGTCACTTTTTCCTTTTGAGGTTCTCTCTTTTGCATTTCAATAGCTGTCAATTTTTGTAATGCAAAACAATTTCTTCCCCTGTGGAGCTTTGCCAATACTAGACAGATAAGCATCTGGCAGGTGATTCAGGTAACTCTCGTGGCTTGAGGGCCTTTTCCAGAACTCTCACATAGCCAATATCTCTTATCTCTTTCCCTTTCTATCCCAGTACTGTTTGTATTTTATAATAATTTTGATGTAAAGTTCATAATTATGGAACAAAATCCACCTGAAATCCTAATGTAACTTTTTTATTAAGGCGTTAGACACAATATACTGGATTCTATATTACTCTCCACTCCTCTGTTTGAACTGGTGTTTTTGTGTCTAAGAGAGGTGTGTTGTGCTGATCTTTTCTTTTAGACTTCTTCAGTACCCTTTCTCCTTTATCTGCTTTCTCTATCTCATCACTATAAATTACATGTTTATTACTGATTTTTCCACCCTCTAAATCAGCAGTACCCAACTTTTTTTTTAATGTGGACCAGTTGGGGGATGTGGGTTCCATGGGAGGGGGGTCAGGGCACCCCTGCACTCATGTGGGGTGCCACACCCACCCGCAAGCACAACACACCCCTCTGCAAGCACAACACACCAAATGTGTGGGGGGAGGCGGACTATCCGTGTCTACACCAGGTAAAATGGACATAGAGCCTCACTTTTTCATGAGAAAGCCTCATAGATACATATAAGTGTATGTATATATTTAAAGGAATAAATCCAACAATAATTTTTCTTTTTCTTTTTTTAAAATGTTGTCACAGCAAACTGCAAGACCAACCTTCTTTGCACGCAAATTTGAAGCAGTGGTGAATCAAGAAATAATTGGCCAGTTGGATTACTACTTGTATGGCAACTATCCATCTGGCACTCCAGGTCTCCGATCGTACTGGGAGAATGTATATGATGAGCCAGATGGCATCCACAGCATTAGTGATGTCATGTTCACCATGTACCATTCATTTTCACGCTTGGGCCTGAGAAAAGCAGAAAGCTCATTCCGCACAGACAGTGAGAACAGCTGCCGGTAAGTTTATTAGTTGTTGTTCCTCTCCATTCTTATCTTCACAATAACCCTGTGAGGTTATTGTTATTAAGCTGAAAGAGAGTGACTGGCCCAAGGTCACCCACTGAGGAGTAAAGCCTGAATTTCCCAAATTGCCATCCAACAGTTGAATGGCTGTACTTCACCAGCTCTTGGCCATTTAGCTTTCATGTCTGTAGTCATAAGTCCATTCACACACTGAAGAATTCTTGCCATGAGTGATGAAGTAAGTGTTTACAATGGACGTGCACTTTTCAGGAGTAACCCTTACTCCATCCTGAAATTATGAATATGCTGCCAAAAGATTCCAGCCAATGTCCTTTCTGAGCCAGGTGGAGATCTGTACATTTTCCCCAAGGTTGTCCATTCCAAACTTAAGTCATTGGGGTTTTTTCCTACCTGAACGTCTGTCAGCAAGGAAGGAGCAGAAACATTGCTTCTGCACTAATTATATGATACAGATTAACAGAATCCTGTTTCAGTTGCCTTTAAATTCTGTCACCCTGGTTATTTTGGCATTCCTTATGTATCTGGGAATTTGGAGAGCAGTTACGAACAGCCCCATTTTCATCAACTTTTCTGATCATACTGCTACATGTCCTCCTTGTGAGGAATTCAATAGGTATTCATTCATTAACTGCCTTGTATCTACTCAAAGTCTCTGCTATATTGTAATTAGACATGAATTAGTTGCTTCCTAGGCTCTTCCCTAGCTTCCAGGTCAAGAATGAAAACTTTTGTAAAAAAAAAACCCTTTGTTATTCTGTCAGTTACAGTTAGAACAAGAAGTTGTCAAAAGTTACTTCCCCCCTTCAAGTGTTTAACTTTGAATGGTTGAAATTGCCTTTAGATATATCCATCTACATATCTTGATTTAATGTGTTGCTTATGTTGCTGTTGGCTAGTCAGTGACCACAGTAAATACTATCCTAACAATGTTCATGTTGCTGAGCATTTTACATTTTGTACCATATGGAGGCTACATGTAGTGGTGTAGCACTTCAGGGCTTTTTTTTAAAAAAATTAAGAATAGTTGCACTCTTTTATCTTAACTTGTCATTAGAGGTGATGGGAAAGACTTCTTCCTGGAATCATAAAGAAGAGAACATACTCGGCTAGTGGGATGAATAACCTGACCTGAAATAAGATGCCTTCCTTTCTCAAAAGAAGGCTTGGGGTGGCCATGTTGGTTGGGGTGGCCATGTCCATCGACTAGTCATCCCAAAAAATGACTTTCCTGATCTCTCATTAGCAGGTCTCAACATTAGTAGCTTCCCCCCCCCCTCGCAACAGCACAAGTGTCCAGTTTAAATTTTCTGTGGTTTAAATTATAGTGTGGTTTCAGGTCATTGTGGGATATGTCTGTCACCACCACCACTAAGGTAGCCATTTTACTTTCCCATAATGTTCTGGAGTAAAGCGATGGCTAGGACAATGTGGGAAATAAAGGTCCCCCCTTTTTAACCCCAAAAACAGCCTCCCCTGCTGGCTGGGGGATTCGTGGAGTTGTGGTCAAAAAAAGGAACTTTTTCAAGCATTAGAGACATTGACGTTAATGGCTTGGAGCTCTTAAGCGGGCCTCAACGGTAATGGGTACTGCCAGGGCACTGTTGTTGCAGCAGTGTCTCTTATTCTCTGTTAAATTGTGTCTGTATGCCCTCTAAAACAAAGGATAAAGCAGACATGACATGAGGCTGGTATATTTTTGTTTCCTTTCCTTCTCCCACCTCTCTCCTTCTCTACCTCTTCCTTGAGGAAGAGAGTGGTTCCCTCAAAGAGCCACTTTAACAACAGCGCCCCCCCCAATTGGTTTGCTAAGGGACCTGTGAAAATCAGCTGATGATGCCATCACCACCCCCAATGTTTTTCCCTGCAGGAGCAGCAGCAGGAAAGGAGGAGTTGGGAGTGTGGAAGGGAGGGGGTAAACAAGGGCTGTGCGGCAAAACGTTAGACCAGGGTGTGTTTTCTTCTGCCCCCAGCACCTCTGAGAGAGTGGAGGAGGATGCCACAGGGCTACAGTGGGAGAAAGTTTGGTCTCTCGCTACCTAAAGCATAAGGCACCCCCTGCAGGTTCTTTGGACAGAAGCTTGCAGTTTAGTTTACAATCTATATTCATTCCCACTCCAGGTTTCTTTTTTCTTCTTTTTGTTATTCAAAAAACGTTGTCTGAGATCATACTGCTTATGTGTTGTTGTTTTCATGGATTCTGTAAATATTTGACTCTTTGCATGTCTAGAAAACAAGCAATCCTTCACTTAATCACCTTATTTACTGTATAGGTGATTGTAAAGCACTGAAAGCAGTTCCAAACAAGTAGGATAGAAAATGACTATAATTTAAATACTTTGATAGGAAGCACATAAAGCAGAAATAACAAAATAATGAGCGATTTCATTAACCAGTTAAAACAAGAGGGAACATATTTTGGCATACAATTGCAGCATGAGGAGGAAAAGGCCTTTCGAAGAGCTTTAGAAGAGAGCAGGGCCGAAGGTCCGAATGATATATTGCTAGGAACAGGTTCAGACATTCTCTTGCCCAATGGAATTTGGTTCTGCTGGTTTTCAACCTTGGAAACCCAAAGCAAATTCACACAGTTCCTTTTAAGCTTACTGGCTCTAGTTTGTATCATGTTAACAGAGTGTGTCAGTACAGTATCTAACTTTTTCAGTATTACAGTATCTCATTGAAACGGAAGTCATTTCAGCTCTAATTTGGCACAAGAAGCAATGGTGTTATTTTTATTGTTCTTTTTGTTGTTATTATGAAGCCAGAAATGAGCATTATTCTCATGGATATGAGAGGTGATATAATAGACATCTTTAAATATCTGAAGTAGTATCACATGGAAGATGGAGGCCTTTTTTTCTGCAGCTCCACAGTATGAAACCCAAATCAGTGGGCCAAATTACAGGAAAGATTCTGACTAAACATTAGGAAGAATTTCCTGATGGTAGCAGGTGTTCAGCTGGGGAATAGATTCCTGTGAAATGCATTAAACTCTTCACTGGAAGTTTTGAAACAGAGGTTGAATCGCCATCAGTCAGGAATGCTTTATATGTCGATTCCGGAATTGGTTGACTAGATGTCCACAATTCTGTGATTTCATGATGTCATGCATGTAGACTTTGATATCCAGGTGGTTATTTGTTTAAACCATTATTTGCTGTAACATCTGAACTGGGACATTGTGGTTTAATCTCAGTTTACTGTTCAGCATGGGAAACCGGACTCTAGTCCAACATAGCAGACCATAGCTTATTACTCCCTGTGGAGAGTGTATTTTGGAAGATACCAACAGGACCTGTTTTTCATCTTATGTTTTTTTACCTTCCTAATTGGCAGTCAGGCAGCTAGGCCCAGCACCAGCATCTCATGTACTGGATTACACACTGGGGCTTAACACAGTCCATCGGTTAACATTTGTCCTGGACCTCCTTTTGAAAAGTAACTGTGTTTTGGAGATACTGTTTAAATTTCCCACAGAGCTTCCTTATCCCATGCTATGGGACTCTGGGGAATTCAAATGTCTGATCCAGATGCCTGGTGACTGTTCATCTGCTGTACATTTTCAGAGTGCACTCAGTTAGGGGGCCAGCCAGAAGACATTTGCCAAAGGCCCTCTAAAACAGTGGTCTCCAACCATGGGCCTCCAGATGTTCCTGTGGATTACAACTCCCAGAAGCCTTCACCACCACCTCTGCTGGCCAGGATTTCTGGGAGTTGAAGTCCAAGAACATCTGGAGGCCCAAGGTTTCTGGGAGTTATGGTCTAAGAACATCTTGGGACCCAAGGTTGGAAATCACTGCTCTGCCGCTATCCCATGATTTCTTTTTGTGGTTTAATCAGTCTCTTTCAAACAAACGTTTGTGTTTTCCAGGTACTACCCAATGGGTCATCCTGTGTCTGTGCATCTTTACTTCCTTGCTGATCATTTCCAGGGTTTCCTCATCAAGCACCATGCTACCAATCTGGCTGCCAGTAAGCTGGAGACCCTGGAGACATGGGTGATGCCAAAGAAGGTTTTCAAAATTGCAAGTCCACCAAGTGATTTTGGAAGGCTGCAGTTCACAGAGGTAAACACTACTGTTGACATTTGCCATCTGCTGTTGCTGCTGCTGCTATTTTAAATGGAGGACATCATTTTTGAAAGGATTTGTTCAGGATCCAGAATGGAAGTTTGAAACATTCTTTCTAGGAATGACACCTCCCAGGACTGTCCAGCCAACATGTTCCCTAACCTTGCAAATTCTTCCAAGTCCTGACCACGGTTAGTTTTTTTCCTTTTGGAGACCTTGTTCTTACGAAGGGGATCAAACCCATGTCTAGGCTACACCACCCCAGACCGTAGGCAGAGGCTTGCTAAAATGGATCCTTCTCGTACCATCGAAATGTATGTGCAGGGACATTTTTGTACAGAGAAGATGTCTAGCTTCTTAACCTTCACCTGTGATCTGAAGTAGTACAGCGCAGAACTCTTGTTGAGAACCCAAGTAAGAACTAGACTTGTGATGCTGAATAAGAACAAGTGTATTTGTTCTTTAATATTTATCAATGGATTTTCTTCAAATTGCAGCCTATACTGACTTCTTTCCTTTTAAAAAAAGCAGACTTCATAACAAATTAAAGGACGTTTTCCTGAACTTTTAAAATTACTTTTAGTTGTTTGTATTTTCTGTATTCTGTTTTGCTTCTAAAAAGCCCATGGTTATATTCCTCCAATCCCATTTTTATTAGCACAACAAACTTGTGAGGCTAGCCTGAGACAGGATGGCTAGCCCCAGGGCTTTGCTTCTTGGGTGGGAATTTGCCTCCCTCATGCTGGTGAGATATGTGTAACCACTACACCACACTGGCTGTAAACCGGCCAAGATTGTGTTGAGTCAATCCAGTTGTGCAGTAACCATAACAGACACAGCTTGCTTTCTCTGCCATGTGCACAGAGAGATACCCAGGGCTTCTCTGTGCAAGCATAAGCTAGGTGGCAGTGAGGACAGCCTGTGCTCACCTAAGGTCAGTGCTTAGACAAGCCAAGGATCCCAGATCACTACACCAGTAAGGCTTTACATTTCATCAGCATCCAGTTGGATCCTTGGCCACGTTGTTTGCAAATGGCACAGCTGTCTAAACACTTAATTTCACTGTGTTTTCCTTGCAAATTTCAATTAAAGTACACATGCATCTAAATGAACAGATTGGTTAACAGCCATTATTCCCTGGTCTATAAATGTTGTGTCTTTTTTTGTTCCATCAAGAGATGCTTATAGAATGTCATGTTTTGGCTGGTGTGTGTTCAAGTGCAAATCTCAAGACATTAACATCCTATTAAAGAATGGTTTGTTGGGCTTGTTCTGTTTTTCAAGATACCTGTTGATTGATTTGCCATTTCATGTGGTACAAAACAATCTTGCATACTGTTTTTCTTCAGACCTGTAATTCTTCCATTGTTTTAACTGCTGTGCTGGTATTTCAGGAGTGTGATGAGAAGCAACACTAAATCATTAAATAATAGGCAATATCAGTTTGCCCAGGTCCTGCTTTTAGTGTATAGTGCTTTTGTAAAGTAAAAGCCCAACCCATTGAAATAACATTCCATTTTTCAGCTGGAGTTCAAAGCCTGCATCAGGTTGTTGGTAGCACTGGGCACCTCCCAAGGCCCCAAACCTGGAGGGGGCTCACGGCAGCCTCCTCCACCTCCTCACCTGGCTGCTGTTCTTCCTCCTCAGAGCTTAGGAACCTACCTCTGAAAAGCAGTTTGTTCCTAATACTCATTTCAGTGTTTAGGAAGTAATTAGTTCATTCCAATGTTCTAAAAAGAACTCTTTGCTTTTTGTTTGCTTTTAAGAGGGGGTGCTTTAGGGTTGGTAGAAGGATGCTGCAGAACGTGTCAAAATGCTTCTAAAAATACCCTTTCAAAGAAGCTAGGAAACACTGCTATCTCAGCAATGTACAGTGGTGCCTCGCTAGACAGTTACCCCGCATGACAGTTTTTTCGCTAGACACTGACTTTTTGCGATCGCTATAGCGATTCGCAAAACAGTGATTCCTATGGGGGAATTTCGCTGGACAATGTTTGGTCCCTGCTTCGCAAACCGATTTTCACTAGACGACGATTTGTTTTTCACTAGACAATGATTTTGCTAGACAGCGATTTCAGTGGAACAGATTATCCTCACCTAGCGAGGCACTACTGTATCATGCATCGTTTCTACTCATTCTCTTAGTTTTGAAATGTGACTTTGTGATGTCCTTGTTCCTCATTGCAGGCAGAGATTAGAAATATTACACCTTTTTTTTCAAACTGCAACTCCCAGAATATATATAACATATACTGGCTGGGGTATTCTGGGAGTTGTAGTGCAACACACACACACCTTTCTCTGGTTGCAGGTAACATTACTTGTAATGCATTGACTTCCCGGCTCTGCTCCTTCTTGCTGTTGCCTGTCTGTTGAGCAGCCTTCTCCAGGCTAGTAGCCAGGACAAGAACTCGGAGGAAGAGCAACAGCTGGTGCCTCCTGGGACTGATAGGGCTGGGTCACCACTGAAAGGTAGACAGAGTAAGTGGGATTAATTGATCCTGTCCAGTTGCTTATGTTGGTTCAGTGGTCTGCCACACTGCTGTGCTTGATTTGCTGTGGAAGAAAAAGTTTGGCATCTGCCGCCCTTCCTCATCCCTCGGCGCCCCACTTGCTGTAATGCTGCACAGCAGCTTCTGCTTCCCCAGTGGTCCCCTTCTGGGAAGCTACACGAGTTACTCCTCCTGATATCAGCTAAGCAAGAGGGGAGAAAGGAGGACTCCGTATTCTCCGGAGAAGGAGAACTCCAGCATGCCTCACTGGGGCTGACCAGGAAACAAAACAAACTTATGATTTAAGAATACTTAGAGATGTTTGCACTAAAACGATATCAGAGCAATTCCAAAAGTTTGTTGCTGGCCTCATTAGCAATCACAATTCATCACACAGAACGAAATGAACCAGGCGGCAGGCAATTAGCATCTGCTGTGTGAACCTAATGGTGGCTGTTCATGGCGAGCAATGACACACATACTAGTGAGCAGGGCATAATTTATCTTGGGCAAATTTTAAGTGAATAGCCCAAGCCTAGGCTGGAAGAACAGACGTTACCGATTCCGTTGCACATGCTGAGTCAGGGGCAAAGGAGCTTCATGATGGGAGTGAAGGAAAGAAAGGAATAAATGCTAGATTCAGCTGCTGCAGAGCTCAGTGGTCTAGGTATCTGGCGGTGGAGTCAGAAGCTGGGAGGTCCACTGTGTTCTCTTGACAAGGGCTGGCCTTGATATTCGTAGGGTCTCTTCCAGTTCTGAAGTTCAGGGATGATGCTGAACTACAAAGGGATCAGTCAGTCTGATGGTACGTGGGCACTAGTAGGGCCCAGTCATTTATCAGTGTGGGAGGCTATGTTTAACCAAGTCCTAGAGATCTAGTAAGAGGGAATCACTTGGGCTGAACTCCCATTAACACGAAGGAGAATAAAGCCTGTAAAACTGTAGATGACTGTTGGGTTCACCAGATGCTCTGAACTACGTCTTCCCATCATCCTGTTGCCTGCTGACTGGAGGACAATCATTATGTTGGCTGGGGTATTTTGGCAGTTATAGTCCAAAAAAGTAATTTTTCAGGCAGAGAGAAGCCAATAGCAAACCCTACCCCCACCAGCAATCTCTGACTTGTGGATTTTCATAAAAAACATACAATTGTAGATACTTCTTAGAGAAGACGTCTGAACTTGGAGACAGGGTCTCAGAACCAGCTCTGAGTTCACTGGTATGAAATAATGCCCTTCTCTCTATTTATCCTTCTATCTGGATGAAGATGATTACTGCAGAGGTGGGCAATCTTTTTTTCTGTCTATGGTCATAATCCCTTATCATTGGGGATTGCCTATCAGACTTTGGCAAGGCTAGAATCGGCAAGAGGCAAAGCTAGAATCAGCAGCAGTAGTCATGTCGCTCCCTGTCTTTTCTGCCTTCCTTTCCCCTCTTCCTCCTCTCAGATGACCGGCTGCTGGGGAAGAGAGAGCTCCCTCTTGCAGCGACCTGCTCTCATTATGGCTTATAGGTGTTACATGCCTCCTGCAAATTTGGGGTGGGGGAGTCTTTCATAGGAAAGCATGCATTATTTTACTTTCTGTTTCTACCACCAGCCTCACACTTTGGTATTAAGTAATTGCACCCAGGTAGATCAGAAAACATAAGAATGTATTGATATCCACAATATTATTTTTAAAGAAAATATAAATATTAAGCAACAATGCAAAAAAGTCACTATGAAAGATATGTATGATGATAAAATCATAAAATCTATGAGCAAATCATATAGTTTTGACCTAAACCTGAAAAGAATAGCGTCTGCAGAAAGATTTATCAGCATCTGTACATCATATAGGTCAGGAGGATCCGGTAGGTCAGGATCCAGATCCGGATCCCCAGGATCTGGTTTCTGATATTTGGTTCTGTTCCTGTTTAGTGGTCTCCTATGGTGAGTCATTAGAACTACCACGTGGGTCATCTTCCTGGGGCAGCAGTGAGCTGTTCAGTTTCTGGACAGGCCCTACCCTGCAAGGCTGGCCACTTGACCTTCTGAAGCCAGCAGAAAGTGCTGTGATGAAAGTCTTCCTGTTGGAGCTGGAAGCAACATCACCTTTCTAGCTCCAGTTCAGTTGTGTCTGCTACCCCTCTGACTCCTGGCTTGCAGCAGCAGCTTAGTCTAAAAGGACAGGCATCATTAGGGGAGGGCAATTGCAAGCATGGATTGTGAGGGTCTTCCCCGTGTCCAGTTTCTGATATTCACAGTAAGATGCATGGAACTCTCCCATACTTTTGCTCCAAGGGGCTCCTTGGCTTAACCATTTTCCAAAACAACAGTGGCGTTTTTTTCTGACAGTGAACTGAATGGAAGAGTCTTGCTTATAATATTAATTTGAATTTGATTGATTTTTCAGACCCGGTAGTCGAATTGATTGGAGGCTGATGAGGCAGCAAGATTATATCAGAACATAGTGCTGTCCCACCACTGTTGTTGCCAAAAGATTCAACTGCCAGTCCATTTATTGATTGATTTGATTTGATTTTTACCCCGCCCCCCCTAGATAGCGTCTACTCGGGGCGGCTAACAAATATCAAAAAATCATAAAATATAATAAAACATTTAGATTTCTGTTCATGATGCACCATCTTATTTTTTGCCTCAGGCAGCAAAAAGGCTTGGTTCAGCTCAGTTCTAGAGATTCTGCAGCAACAAGCTGAATCCAGCAGTCAGTCTGCACTAGAGGTTCTAGGGACACATCTTGAAAAAGAAAAAAGATAGAATGAGGACTTATGTGGCGAATAGGGATGGTGTGAAGTAATGAAATTCTTCAGTTTTAACTACTGCAATGTGTTCAAAGTCACTGACCTGTCTCCCTTCAGTAGCTGCTCTAATGTAATAAGTAGAATAATGAAAAGCAGCTGGGTGAGCAATTTATTGCAGATGATATTTCAATGTACCATTTAAAAGCCAGGTACAGTATTGTTCATCAGCACCCATCAGTAGTTGCAATAATCTTTATTATTATTATTATTTTGCTTTAGAAAGAAACATGAGCAAACAAATCATTCTTCCTAATTAAGGTTTGCAAACTGAGACGTCTACTTTACAAGCCCATGTTTTAATAATAGAAGCATTAGTTTGTGGTAATGATTAAACACTGCATAGATCAACATGGAAGATTTGCTAAATATTGAAATCAGTAGAAGGCAAGGATTTGTTTATTCAAGACTAGAAGTCGGTGTTACTAAAGAAAGATTTCAGTTAAGCATTCCTGTAGATCCCATCCCTTATCCATGGTAGTATGTAAACACATTTGCCCTTTCTAATTTAAACAGAACTGGTGATGTGCCTCTTAAATGACAAGATATGCCATTTTGCTGTGTCTTCAAAAAATGGCTGGATGCAAAGAAGATAGAATGATAATAATGTCAGAATTTGGGCCAGTTATTTTCACTGCATCAAAAGCATCTCTACATAAATATTGGCAACGTTTTATATATATGGGAGACACTGATTCAGTCTATAATAAACTCTTCATCTTTGATGGATGGATTGTGAAAGATGATCTTTTTGTTCATCATTGTAATCTTAATAAAGACCCGGGCTACTCCTTCTTATGTTCACCCTGCATGCCGAGAATTCTCAAAAGTGTACAGGCAAAAAAAGGTGCTGGAGTTTAGATCTCAACGTGTCTGTGAAGAGGAACTCTTGGTTGTTTTCCTTTATCTGCTTATGGGATGGGTAAACGTGGCAGGCTGTATTTTTGCCAGACTCAGGAATGCCTGATTTTGGACATTTTTGTAAAGTAGGAATATAGGCACAATTTCAATTTCTTTCTTTTTTTTTTTTTTATGGCGGCAAGGGGACTTAGTAGTCACCACAAATGTCTCCAGTGGAAAACAAATACCAGGCATTTGTTCCTATGGGGACTAATGCTTCAGTGTACAAACGTGCCTGTACATAAGGACAAAAAACAGCCTGAACGGATTAATCGGTTTTCAGTGCATTCCTATGGGAAATTTTGCTTCAACTTAAGAACGTTTCATCTTAAGAACACCATTCCAATACAGATCAAGTTCTTAAGTAGAGGTTCCACTGTACAGGCAAAAAAAGGTGCTGGAGTTTAGATCTCAGCGTGTCTGTGAAGAGGAACTCTTGGTTGCTTTCCTTTATCTGCTCATGGGATGGGTAAACGTGGCAGGCTGCATTTTTGCCAGACTCAGGAATGCCTGATTTTGGACATTTTTGTAAAGTAGGAATATAGGCACAATTTCAGGGTTTTTTTTTTTGTTTGTTTGTTTGTTTTAATGGTGGCAAGGGGACTTAGTAGTCGCCACAAATGTCTCCAGTGGAAAACAAATACCAGGAGTGGAAACTTTATGAACCTTTAAAAAATATCTTGCTTAATGGGGAATTTCAGGTGACCATCAACCTAATTCCAGTGTATGGTGACTCTCATCGAGTTTTCTAGATATAAAGCAGTCAGCGTAGTTTGTCTTCAGGTGATGCTCTGGAACAACTGTGCAACATGCCCAAGACTGTGCAAGTGACAGGGCATGTAACTTCATCAGCCACATGTACTTCTGCCAGATTACCTCAGCTGCCTTATCTCCCAGAAGGCACACTGGGGATTCAAATCCCAAGACAGTTCCAACCCACTGAGCTGTATCAGTTCTCAGTGACCTTGGAGCCACAAAAATGCTCATCCACATTGTTTACAGTCTTGTTTCCCTGAGATTTCTGTCCCAGGCAGTAGGTGCTGGAAGGTGGCAGCAAAGTATTGCAGGACAGACCTGTGTGTACCTTTTGACTTGTTATGTAGCCCTGAGCTAGCCTGAATCTTCTAGGTGCAGCAGAGAATACCTCCCACTAAAATTCAGCTGCTGATCTAGTCAGTTTTTGTATGCATGATGGATGCCGTCTTCTCCTTTTTCTCAAGCTGCAAAATGTCGTAGGCTCTCCGTTCCACCTATCCTCCCTACCTTCTAATTTCCACAAGGAGCAGAGATGGAAAGGAATCTTGTAGTATTTAATTGCCAAATGTGGAAAATTATGAAAGAGGAAATATCCGTTGATTGGCTTGTTCCTTGCTGCCTTGTCTAATGTGCAGTGCTCCTTTCTTTCAGATCGGAACGGACTGGGATGCTAAAGAGAGGATATTCCGGAATTTTGGTGGTCTCATTGGACCAATGGACGAGCCGATCGGCATGCAAAAATGGGGGAAAGGGCCTAATGTCACCGTTACCGTCATCTGGGTGGATCCCATAAATGTCATTGCTGCTACATATGACATTCTGATTGAATCCACTGCAGAGTTTACACATTACAAGCCACCTCTGAATTTGCCCCTCCGGCCTGGTATCTGGACAGTGAAAATCCTGCATCACTGGGTGCCTGTGGCTGAAACAAAATTCCTCGTCTCTCCTCTGACCTTTTCCAACAGACAGGCAATCAGGCAAGGTATGTTCCTTGGGGTTGGGGGCATCCTCAGCAGACCAAAAGAAATAGACTGGAATCTTCTGTTGTTGTTGTTGTCGTCGTTGTCGTCTTCATCATTTTCATTGGAGACAGGTTGGAGTGGTCACATTGGTCTATGTTCCGTGGATAGCTCTCATTAGCACAAGACAGCCAGGCTTTTTTAAAATATAGTTTTATTAATTAACATAAAAAATAAAACAAGAGCAACAACAAAAAGTCTACACATACACGTACTGTGCTCCCCTTCACCGGGACCAATGGAGATAGTCTGTTCCTTCCTTTTATGGAGCCCCATTCCCTTTCCAAAATACATTTACTGTTGCAAAGGTACACAATCTTTTGTTAATACAAAGTCAATGAATTCTCCGCATATATCCCCAGACTCATTCTTAATTTACATTCCTTTTCTTACTTTCATTTCATATGTGAATTTATTATTAATAGCTATATTCTACACTTCTTTATACCATTCATTTACTTGGGGATCGCACTTAATCTTCCAGTCATTTGTTATTATTAATTTTGCCACTGTTACTAAATTTATAATCAGTTCTTTCTTTATCAGCTTCCATTGTACCCTCTCAAATATCAGTAAAAGCACTATTTTTGGACATATTGTTAGATTTAAACTTAATGTTTCTCATATTTCTTTGAAAATCAACTTTATATATTCACATTTGCACCACATATGGAAGTAGGTCCCCACTTCTTGCTTAGATCACCAACACTTTTTGGAGTTTTTTTTATCCATATAATTCAATTTCACTGATGTTAAGTACCATCTCCAAACGACTTTATAAACAATTTTATTCTTACAGACATACATTTTACAATTCCATAATTTTGTCCACTTCTCAGTATATATTTCCTCTCCCAAATCTGTTTCCACAGCATCTTTAAATTCTCTCCTTTACTTCTGCTTCCTGTACTTCTGTTAATATTTTATAAATTACATCCTAGCAGTATTAGGAAGAGGAATAGAAAGGAAAAGGAGATCACTACTCCGAGTGAATGATTGGCTACAAAGCTGGTGTCGACGTGAGGAGTTTGATTTCTGGGACCACAGGCTAAGCTTCCTGGAAGAAGGACTGCTAGCAGGAGACGGCTTGCACCTAACAAGGACTGGGAAGGATGTGTTTGGCCACAGCATGAAGAACTTCATCAGGAGAGCTTTAAACTGAATTGGAAAGCAGAGGAAGACGCAAGCAGAGAATTAGAGATAGATGAAGCCTTACTCACAAAAAAGGAACAGACCAAACTGTTCAAATGTGGGTTAATAATAACATTAATATTAATAGTAATATTCATAAAAATATATAAAGACAAACAGGCCACAAATGACACAATCTCTGGTGTCTATATACGAATGCCAGGAGTACTGTATGGGAAACAAACAAGAAGAATTGGAGGGTAGTTCAGGAGGGTAAATATGCCTTGACAAGAATAACTGATGGGAGTACTGTATGGGAAACAAACAAGAAGAATTGGAGGGTAGTTCCGGAGGGTAAATATGCCTTGACAAGAAAAACTGATGCTTGGTGGAATGACTCCCATGACTGGAATACTGCAATTGAAGGATATAAATTGTTCAAAAAGAACAGAGAGAATAGAAAGGGAGGTGGAGTTGCAGTATACACATACAGAAATACAGGAGGAGATTGGCTGTCCCATTGAGAGCATCCGGATCTATCTAGTTGGAGCAAAAAACAAAAGGAACATGATAGTTGGAGTCTACTCCTGGCCACCCAATCGAGGAGAGGAAGCAGATTAAACTTTTGAAAAATAAATTGCAAGAATTTCAGAGAGACATGAAGTAGTAGTGATGGGAGAATTCAACTATCCTGATATCCATTGGGTGGCAAATTCTGCCAAGTATGGTCCTTCCAAAAAATTCCTGGTTTGTGTGGCTGATAGTTTTCTCCTAAAAAAAACTGGAGAAAGAAACTAGAGGACTAGCTATCCTTGACTTGATTCTAACCAATAAAGATGACTTGGCGGAGGGAAGTGGCAGTAAAGGGAACTCTGGGTGAGAGTGACCACGTTCTACTAGAATTCTTCATCTGAAAGGAAACCAAAGCAGGGTATAGCCACACAAAGATGCTGGCTTTTTAAAAAGCCAATTTTTTATAACCTCAGAACAAAGATTAATAAGGTTCCATGGCAAGAGATCCTAAAAAGAAAAGGAGTCCAAGAAGGATGTGATTATACACAATTCCAGCAAGAAGAAAAGGTGGGAGGCAGCAGAGGGAATGCTATAGACATAGCAAGTCTTGACTTCTGCAAAGTTTTTGATAAGTGTCCCATAATATATACCCTGATAAGCAGGCTAACTCTAGGCATGGGCTGGATAGCTCAAGTGTCAGGTGGATACACAATTGGCTACAGAATTGTACTCAGACGGTGATGATCAATGGCTCCTTCTCCGACTAGGAGGAGGTAACAAGTGGGATATCCCAAAACACCTGCCTGGGTCCAGTACTCTTCAACATTTTTATTAATCACTTGGATGAGGGAGTCCAGGGAATGCTTGTCAGATTTGTGGCTGACACAAAATTGGGTGGAATACCTAATACCCCAAAGACAGAAACAACATTCAAAATGATCTTGAATGACTCTTAACTGTTGGGGCTACAAAGAAGCAGCCTCTTCGCCTACCAACAGTTAGCAATTTGAATTCCCTGCCTTTTCTGCTCGTAACTGGAAGCTCCGGCCGCAAGTAGAAGCAAAATTGTACAGCTGGAGCTGGTCGTAACTCAAAATGGTCATATGTTGGGACGTTTGTCAGTCGAGGCACCACTGTATATCGATCTATTATATTTTCCCCAACCTAAATCAAATATTAAACAATACATGAAACCCTCCTCTTCCTCCCTCTTCCTGTTCGGCCTTTTCTTCTTCTTCTTAACTGCTTGACCCCTTGGACTCTCCTCCACCACTCTGATCATATCCTCTATTAACAATCCACCAACAGCTCCCTTCTGCTCCTCATCCTTCTACCACTCTGATCATATCCTCTATTAACAATCCTCATCCTTCTACTCTTCCTCTTCCTCTTCTTCCTCCAAACTTGTAGCTAATTCTATTTTTCCATCCACCTTTATAGCTTCTTCCTCTGTTTGGATGGTCGTCGTTTAGTCATTTAGTCGTGTCTGACTGTTCATGACCCCATGAATCAGAGCACGCCAGGCCCTCCTATCCTCCACTGCCTCCCGTAGTTGTGTCAATTTCATCCATCTAGCAATTCCCACTGACACAACAAATCCACACCTTGCTCCACTGAAGTTATGCTGCTTCCGTTTATAGAATACCTTCATGTAGACTGGGTAACCCCCCGTTGTATCTTATACCATTCTTAGTGAGCACCACCTTCATGGGGGGCATTTCATGTTTCCATTGTACATTTTCAAGACAGAGATCTTGGTAGATTTGAGTAGCTATTTTAACCATCCATCCATTCTTTTCAGTGCATTCATGAACAATTTTTGGGGGTAAAAATTTGTGAATCCTAGCACTTTATTCCTCGGGAGTATGCCAGATTGTCACCCTGTATGGTTCTTCACCTTTTGACTAAGATCAAGTGTAGTATCTGTTCTTATCAGAGTACTGTGATTTTAAATGGCACAGTTATAAGCTAAGTTTAGTTCATGTTGTATCATTTGTATTAAATCTGCATCAGTTCTAAAGTTCTGGCAGCCAAATGGAGAAGTAGCTGGATAGCATTGCTTCAGAATAATTTTTGTAATTTCAACTGCTTACTGAGCCAGCCTTACATTTCTGTGGCTATCTTCCTAAAAGCTAAATAGAGGAGGCTAACATTAAATTGCAGAAGCTCCCCCAACTGTGTCCTACATTCTCAAAGGCTCTGAGTTTACTCTCCCAATTGCTTAAAGGCCCAGGCAGTCTGCCTGCTATCTTTTACCTGCCCTCTTTGCACACCAAGAGTGCATAGATATACAGCTACTGGGATGCTTCAGTATATTCCAGCAGTTAGACTTTTTAATCATCATCATCATCTTAGAACTGTAGAGCTAGAAGGTATCAAGGAATTTCTTCCTGCACCATAACTCTTGCTTAGATTATTGTGATCAATAACTGTTAGACTTCTCACTGCTAGGTCAAGAGATGGATGATTCAATAGGTTTCCAGTCTGTATTGTGTGTGTGTGTGTGTGTGAGAGAGAGAGAGAGAGAGAGAGAGAAAGAGAGAGAGAGAGAGAACCCTGTTCCATCTTTGTTCTGCTTTACTGTGTGGTGGGCATAGTTAGGTTTAATCTGCAGTCCAAAACTGTATTTAGTTTTTCTCCTAAAAATCATCTGTTTCTACACTTCCATCAAAAAATTCCATCCCTTTTGGGAAAGGCAAACAGAACAAGCCATATGATCCAGAACGAGTGAAGGAGTGGTTCTTCTGTATCTTGCAATTGTCATATATAATAAAACAAATACAACATAAAACCAAACATATTGGGACATTTTAAAATGTAGCCCAATATCCTGCTGGTACTTACACACATAGAGTTACAATTACAGAAGTTCCTATTTGGCAAATCATCACCACCATCAGAATGGGACAAGCACAAGACCGGCACCTCACCAAATAGCTTCTTCCGTTATAACTCTGGAAGTGGTAGATACTAAAAAGAAACTGAGCAGAGAGATTTATTTCAGAGGTGCTTTCTTAAATTACAGAGCTCACCCTGAAATAAAGCTGCCACAGGCCATCTGTTTTTGTGTTGTTTTTGCTTTCATTGTATATGCTGAAGAATACCAATACATCCATCTGTCTGAGAAGTGCTGCTTTGATACCACAATTCATTTTAGTCATGGCTATCCATCCACCGAAAGTTATTGTGATGCTGTTTCTAATTTCTAGCTTCTTTGCTGCTTGCTGGTTCTTTGCGCATGAATTCTGTGTACTTTCAACTTACACATATGTAGATACATATAGGCTAGGAAGAGGAGAACCATCATCACAGGAGAAATATTGATGGTCTTCCATAGCAGCCATCCCCAGCCTGGCTGTTTTAGACCTCAACTCCCGTCAGCCTCACCCAAGAAGGCAAGAGTTCGGAATGCTGGAGGTTATCAGCAGAATATCTGAAGAGCACAAGTTTGGGGAAAGCTAGCTTCCTACTGAGGTTAGTCCAAGGATGGGCAACCTGTGACCCTTTAAGAAGTGCAGTTGAAGCCAATGGAAAAGTCGGTTCTGGCAACCTTCTAACTCTTCTCTATAGTGGACTAGTCTAGCCAGTATCTCCTGCTGTACACCAGCCAAGATCTTCTGCATACCTATCATGATCAGCAGAGAGAAATTTTTTGGGGGGGAGGCTAAGTCCAATTGTTACTCTCAGCTAGAGTAAAATTCAGTTATCAGAATTCTATTCCTATTTACATAATTTACATATCGGTGGCTAATTGAGAAGGTGCTGAGATACATCTCAGTCACATATCTGGTCATGTGTCTCATTGAAGAGGCAAGATGCACCCCAGCATCTCATCAGTTGGCTGAAATTACCTGAAGCAAGTTATGCAAATTTTATGCAAACATCAGTAGGCTTCAAGGCAATAAATCTACTCTGACTGGGACTAGCTACAGGGTTACCTTGATTTACAAACTTAATCCGTTTTGGAACGACATTCATACGTCGAAAAGTTCGTAAGTCGAAGTACCATTTTCCATTGAAATGTATGGGAACGGAATTAATCCGTTCCAGCATTTCAAAAAATTACCTTTGGAGGTCTCAAAGGGCTTTCCACCCGACATCGGAGGAAGCCCTTTGAGAGCTCAGAAGGCAAAAAGGCAAGGAGAATGGGGTAGAAATTCAAATTTGAGACCTCCGAAGGCGACGAACAGCTCCATTTGGAAAAATGGCATTGACTTGCGAACAGAGCCTCAACCTCATTCGTAGGTCAAGGCTCCGTTCGCAAGGCGATGCCATTTTTTGCCAACGGAGCCATTCGTAAATCGAAACATTCATATGTAGGGACATTTGTAAGTCGAGGGTTGACTATATTGGATTCAGGTCTGAGCTACAACTCACAAGCTGCCCCTTCAAGCAGCAGCCAGGGCCATGCTGGATGTGGATGGTACCTTCTGAGAATGGTAGTTACCTGTCACAGGCTTTCATCATGAGCCTGTCCTGCTTTGACTCCAGCCCAGTAGATGAGACCCAGGAGAACCTGTCAGTATCCATATTATGCTTGGCATCTTCCAGGCTTTACATTGAACTTCAAATCACGTAGCAGTGAGAGGTTTGAATAACCCCACTGCCTCTCCCCCAGCATTCATGGGTATCTAGACAGCACTGTCATCTCAAGAGGCACAGCGGGTTGAAACAACCTGCAGTCAAGAGAAGTTTAGAAAGTTGTGCTCAGCCTAGACCTTGGAGGTTTGCCCATTCCCTCTTCCAAGACCCAATATTATGTTCATTACCTGAAACTTATCATTATAAAGTTTCTTTTTAGGTTTCATTCTTTTTAGCATTTGCCACTTTGTCACCTCTTTTTTCTTCTTCAATTATTTCAATTTATTTCTAGTGCCAGATAAATGCAGTGAAACTGACAGAAAAATTGAAGCTGTGAAAGGAACCGTTTGTGTTATATTTTTGTGAACAATGCAAAGACTGGGGGGGTAAAAAGTCCTGTTTCTAAACTTAAGGAGCAGCATAATAAAGCCTGCCTTTAGAGAAGAAAATTAATAGAAATGAAGTAAAAGGGGGAAGGTGGGCTGCTTTTCATAATCTTTCTTAGCAACACTGAAATGTTTCCCCAGGGCCTATGGCAGTCAAGGGCCTGGATAAATCTGCTGGTCTTATTCACTTTCAGCAATTTCCAGAACTTTTTAAGCAACATTGAAAAGTTCCTTTTCTTCACCTGGATTTTTTAAAGAGATTGTCTTTAAAAAAGGACAAGCATCTATTCTGAATAAGGCTGTGCCAGGCAGGGAACCTTCTTCTCTGTTGCAGTCAACCTCATCTACCTTAGTGCTATTGGCAAATCCAGAGCTTGCACCACAAATTGCAGAACTGTCCCAGTCAACTTGACAACTGGCTGTAACTTTTCCAAGTTCTAGTTCAAATCCAGAGGAGACTGTGGACTGACTTCACTTCATTTATTTCCGTCCCACCTTTCTCCCAATAAAGAGACACAAGGTGGTGTACAACAACTAAAAAAACACGTATTTATTTTATCTCTCTAACATATCTCTCTAACACAGACCAAAACAATCCTCATGATCTTATGTCAAGAAGATTTTTAAATGTATTGTTTGCCAAGCAAAAATGTGTTGTCAAGATCGACATCCCTAGATAAACGCCTAATGCCAAATGTATGCACAAGTTAGGCAAACTAAAATGTGAAGTCCCAGATTATGCGGGAGTAGTTCTGTTTTTTTAAGCTCTCTTTCTTTTGAGTAATGCTGTAGGGCCTTTTGAAATGGTTGTAGCTTAGGACCTCAGCATGTCTTCATAAAACAGCACTGGTGATGTGGCATGAATTGCAGGCACTGGTATGTCATTCCTGGCCCGAATATGATGTGGCTTTCCAAGCCAAGGAGGTCTTCCTTGAATGGGGACATTTTCTCCTAGAAGCGGTTGTGTATCTTGGCTGAGCTCAGCAAGGCTCCTCCTCGCATCCAGTCTCCTTTTTCAAGAACAGAACTGGAGGAGGGGGAACTGGCTGTGGAGAAATGCATCCCCTCTTCCAATTTTCACACCTGTGTCAATTTCAGGCAGAAACTACAGCATGACTGTTTCCACAAGGCTGAAGCTAAGACAGGCAGGATTGAGCTGCTGATGGTGTGGTCATTCGTGCAATACTTTTGATATTTATAGAAATGGTTTCCTACCTTGATTGTGTGTTACATTTCACATCTGTTTTCTGCCATTCTTGTGTAAAAAAAAAAGATGAAAACCAGCAGCACTGTGGTTTCCTCAGTGCTTACATCCTGTGCAGAGCCTAATTCACACTGCAAATAACTTTAATACACAGTAATTTTCCCAAGTTTGGATCCTAACACAGCAGTTGCCATTTGCAGTAGGGCCTGGTGTCCATAAGGTTGGGCCGAGACTGATGACAGTAACTCCTTGGGTATTTCTGATATCTGTCCTAGAAGCACCTTTTCAATAATGTTCAGATCCACTCTCCAAATATCACCTGGGTGGCTCAATCTGTCATTTTACTCTATTGACAGACTGTCTTCTCCTCCTCCTCCTAAATATTGTGGGTCATCACTGCAGACACAAATGCAGAATTACTACCAGCAATACAGTGTTTTGGCCAATTCTGGTTAATGAACAAGTTCTCTCCATGAAGGTCATGGCAATCACCCACCCCATCCACTGGATGGAAAGGGAACTGCTGTTCCCTTGCTTATTTTCCCCTTCCCTCCCTTATCCTTTTTCTTTTTGAACCATAGTTTCTATGTTAATTGCTTGTAGACAGAAGCTTTCGTATCTTTGGGTACAGTGTTTAGAAAATTCTAGGTACTTTGGTAATAGTAGTAGTAGAAAAACATAAACATAAATGCCTTTAAATACTACAAATACTATTATTCCTTATTCTATTACCAGTAATATTATCAGTAATAACAGGAGGAACAACTAAAATGGTATAATATGAATAGCAATTAAAAAGCAATTTCAAGGCTATGGAGAACACAGCTGAAACAACGAAATGTTTACCTCATTTAAAGCTTTGGCCGTGTTTTCTTTTATTTCAGAAGAGGCCGTGAGGTTGCATGGTGGACCACCAAAGAATGCCTACATGGAGCAGAGTTTCCAAGGCTTGAATCCAGTTTTGAACATCCCCATCAATGCTGCACAGGTGGAGCAGGCCAAAAGGACAGCAGCCCTCACTGGGACCAAGTTGGAGAGCTGGGTGGACAATCTGGTTGGGAGCGTCTGGTCCGCTGTCGATATCTGCAGCACAGGCTCGTCCTCTTGCCCAGTAATCCAGGCCTGTAGCCAAACTTCATGGAGTTCTCTCAGCCCAGACCCAAAGTCTGAACTGGGTCCTGTTAAACCCGATGGCCGTTTGAGGTAGCAGCCGGTTTGCCCTTTGTTGGTTTTAAAAGGGAATCAAACTTTTCGTGATCTTGTGACCTGTGCAAGGTGGATGTCTGTCTGCACTTCAGAATGTAAATTATTTTCAATTGGTTTAGCTTTCATTCTTTTTTTTTTTTACGAAAAAGCTAAAAATTAGTTTTAATTAAGATCTAAAGTAGGGATGGAATTAGAAAAACGAGCTGTTCCAATGTTTTTAGATGGGAGGGATGGGAAGGAGGAAACTGATTTTAAACCATGTGTGCTTGTAGCACAGAGATAACCTCACAGATTTCAAAACCCTTATCTGAACTATTCGCTATTCTATTTCATACACACAAACGCCACAACTGTTTTCACGAAAGGATTGGCTTTTTTGAAAGGAAGAACAAAATGGCTACCATTCTTGAGTGCTGAAATTTGCTATTACTTTCCAAAACATTCTATTAAAAAGATTCGCAAAAGCATTGTTACCACTACCCCAGCCAAGAAAAAACAACCCTGTTTTTCTCCCCTTTTAAAAGCATTCATGATTTAAAAATAGTAATGCTTTTAAGTCTTCCCTCCATTCACTAATATGTACAGGGGTTCAATCTTTGGCCTTTCTGATTATGAAAGAATTGTACAACCACAACCCAGCTCTCGCAGAAAATCCTCACACCACAAACCTTAGGTGGAAAATAGTTTAAACTGCAACACAGGAGGGCAGAATGGGACAGAGGAACTCTTCCACATCCATATTTTTCTCCTTGGAGCTGTCCTTTTTAAAGTGACCTTGAATGTGGAAAGTGAAGGTAGGGGACAGATGTCAGGGCAATGCTTAGCATTCAAACGATGGGAGGAGGATCCCCTTGTTATCTGTGATAACTTTCCTCTTCCAGCTAATGTTCAGGATAGAATTATAGCTCAGTGTTAAAACCAAAGGTCCCACACAGGTCCCTCACATAAGCAAGTTGAAAGGATCCGACAGAGCATTCTAGAGGTACTTTGCCCGTCCACATAGGGCAACACAGGGATAGAGGGAAGCAGCTCTGGCAATTTTATAATGCAGCTTTCCTGCACTAAATTTTTTAAGGGATCGTTGGTGGAAATTTGGGGGGGGAGGGCTTGACACAATATCTTGTAGAGTTAAAAAATTTCTCTCTTACCTGCCCTCCCCACTATTTGAGAAAAGCCAGTGTTGCACTTCCACCCCATTATTTAATAATTAATCCAGACATATCCTAACATAGGATATAACGACACAATGAGAAAATACAATTTGATCACATCGGGTTTCCCCGGGTAACTCACTGTAGCCGTCTAGATGACAGTTTGTTCAGGTCTGAGGCAGGCAGCTCAGCTTTCAAAGAGCTCCAATAGCAGAAGGTGTCTTAACAAAGTGCTAATTGGCAATTTTGACCGTTCTCACACCTTTTTACAGTTATTCTCCCAAATGCCCTAGTGATAACTGCTGCTGAGTTGAAATCATTTTTTTGTTTTGTTTTTTGTTTTTTAATGCAGTCAGAGCAGATGTCAATCCTGTTGGAACAAATTTAAGCCACCCTGGTGGCTGAACAAAAAGAGAGGATTCCCCACTCAAAAGAGTCATTGGAACAAATTTAAGCCACCCTGGTGGCTTAAAAGAGTCGATTCCACAACAGTCTTCCTTGCATTGCGCTTTACGTCATGTATTCACTGTGTTTTAATTCAAATTAATCTGTTCCCAGTCTTATGCACCTTGTGAGGTAAATAGCCAATGTAGTCACCTCCACAGACATACAAACCCACCACAAGTTTAGCCCTATGATGTGCAGTGGCATATTTTGACATTTCGGAGTTGAAATCATCTGGTCTCCCATGTTTAGAAGTAGCTCCTTTGCAAGAGGGAGAACTGTAGTATTCTTGAGTTAGGAATAAGGAAACTGGTCAAGTTTTATTTCTTCATCCACTTGAAATGTGTGAGTTTCGATAAATTCAGATTTTCAAAAATGAATTGAAATGAAATTCTCATCTCTATCTACAATATGTTTGTGTATTTGATGTCTCACATTTTAGCAGATTTGAGTCCTCATTTACATTCTGGCTCCATCACACATGGTTGTGATCTAAGCTGCAAGATATATGAAAAAGCTTAGATTCCATTAATATAAAAATTGAATTTTCGTGGCTTTTTTGCTCTCTTATGCAGATTCATTTCTAGTTAAACCCTTCGGCATAACTTGTACAAATTGCATTCGTGTTCATACATATAAATTTTTTTTCTTTGAGCTTTTAGTTCAAATTCCTTGCGTCTTGATGGACCTCCAGCACTCAAAGAAACTTTGTCAGCTCTGTTGTTATCTCTTCCAAAGGTTACAAAATGACCAGTTGAGTTAATAAAACAAGATTTCTCTTCCCTCCTTCCCATGTCAAAATTTCAGCTCTCTTAATGAGCAGCCAGCTTGTGCATTTCAAAATAACCAGGTGACAAGAAATGGTTGAATTCCCTTTTAAAAATGACTGCTGCCATGGTGGTGACGATAAACCCCAAGATCCTGATGGCTTGCTAATGTGTTTTCTCACCATCCTGTTTGGTTTTAAGCTATTCCAGTTTGCTTTGGACTTTGGAAATTGCAGTGTCAGCTGTGCTGGCATGAAAGCAGAGTATTAATAAGGTTTGGCTGACACAAAAGAGGCTGCATAGGAGGAAAACATTAGGTATTTATTTGTGTTTTAGTCAATGACTAATTAGTAGGTGCTGCTTGTGCAGCTTGAAGATTATTTTATCTTACTAACTAAAGCTGCCTTTATTAAGAAAAGGCCTTTTCTCTTTAAAGAAAAAAAACCTTTCTCCCTTTGCTTTTTTTCCTCCTTTCTTGAATTCCACTCTTACAAGAATTCTGAATATGGGGAGTTGGGGGGCGGGGGAATTACTGAAACATTGCCTCCCAACCTTGGGTCCCAAAATGTTATTGTACTACCACCACTCCCATCCAGTATGGCCAGCGATTGAGAGTGATGGGAGTTGGTGTCCAGCAAGATCAGGTTCTCACATCTGAAACTTGGCATTAGAAATCAACTGACTACGTGTAGCAACTACTGAGTTTCACATTAACATATCCATCCACCCAGATCCCAATTCAGGAGATCAGAATGTAGTTAACACTCACACAAAAAACGCAAAAGGATGGAAGTGTGCTAGTTCCCTTCTCTGTCATTGCTTTTCCACACATAAAGAATGAAAGTCTAAAGAGAAGAGGTTCTGTGCAATCAGGAACACTGATTTTCCAGTTTTCCAGATCATATGGAGAACCTCCACTATTGCTCCTCAAAATGATGACAATGAAAAAGGCAGAGATCATGTGCTCTCTTCATTGCATATTGATATTTACTACACATTAAACTGCTAGATAGAGTTTGTATCTATCAAAGACCAAGACCCATCTTTAGAAGCCACAGCTACCTGCTGGGTACTTCAACAGGCAGACATTCTTTCCCCTCCAGAAGGCTGGGTCTGCCATTGGTGGAAAACCTTCATTGGTGAGCCCAATATTCTCATGTCTAAGGTGAGGACAAGGGGCTTTCTGTTCTCCAAGTCACCCTTCAGGACTCTTGAATGTCATTCTTTGGAATGTGGTGCATGTTTTACATTATGTCAGCCCAAAATAAAAATATTTTGGTTGGTTGGTTGCATGTTAGGGGACGTGTGGCCCTTCAGATGTTGATCAGCTACAACTCCCATGATGCCTCACCATTGTCTAGGCTAGGTGCAGGTGAAGGGAGCTGTCAGCTAGACAGCCAAATGTTCCCTGTGGAGTTGAGGCCATGACAGCCATTTTATATACTTCATTTAGTGTTCTTATCACACCATGAACAATGGATGGGGAAATCTGCTTAAGCCACAGACTTAGTTCTCCTGTCCTTGAACATCCACATGTGTCTCACAAGTGACCGTGGGGCATACGTGCACAACACTTGCAGATACTCCTAGTTAAGCTCTATGGTCAAGCGATGCCCTTTATAAAAAGTGAGTTTCTCTGCCCTGTCTTGCACATTCAAATGCACCTTAGTCAAGGAGCATATACTTTCCATGAAGAAGGTTATATGTTCTTCTTCATGGCCTCTGTGAATGCACACAAATGGGTTAGACTGTGCCTGTGCAGGACTCTTCGGAATCTTCTAGAGCTTAAAAACATGTTTCCCCATGGTGCGCATGCTCCGCCTGCCCGTAATGCCTCAGTTCCTTCTTGCCCCCGCTGAGATCACACTCTTTTACAACGTCTAGAACTGTTTTGAATTGTTACCCATTTTATGGTTTTTTGATCTGGTCTGGCTTCCTGACTACCGTTGGTGTTTCTGGAGTACTTTGACCTTTGTTTACAATTACAATTGTTGAATTTGGATTCACTACCTTTTTGTGATTTCTGGATTACTGACCTTTGGACTGATTACAGTTTCTGATTTGGCTTATGGACTTTATCGAGATTTTGGCTTTTAATCTATTTCAGCTTTTGACTTGGACTGGCAATCGTTGACATTTTCCCGTGGGTTCTTCTCTTTTTCCCCCTCCCCCCTTCTTCTGTTCTCGTCAATTTCTATGGCCTCGTCAGGTCCTTTTAAGCTTTCTCTTTTTTCCCCTCCCCCCTTCTGTTCTCATCAATTTCTATGGCCTCGTCAGGTCCTTGTAAGCTCTGTACCTCGTGCGCTAGTAAGATCCCCTTCACAGACTGCCACAACCGCTGCTTATTTTGTTTAGGGGAGAGGCACCAGACACACTCCTGTCTGGAGTGTAAGAAGTTGACCAAGCCTGCCTTTAAGCTCTGCTTACAGCGGCTTCATTCATACTTGCGGGGATTCATGCTTGCGGGAAAAGTCTTTAACACCCTCGAGCCCGGCAGACATGAAGCCTGCCTTGACTCCTGCTCCTCCTACTCCTCATTCCAAGCCTGCTGCTTCATCGGCTCCTGCCATCCCTTCTCCGTGGACTTCGAAAGCACTGAAAACGTCTTCGGCATTGATGTCGAGTTCAATACCGAAATAGCTTGCGGTAAAGGATCTGAAGAAAAAGAAAGAGGTGGTTAAGCATAAAAAGGCAAAACAATCTGCTAAATCTACTCATTCTTGAGTGATCCCTCCAGTTCGAGTTTCTCTTCCATCACCAATACTCGAGGAATCGTCCAAAGAGTTACCAGATTCTCTTTCTGAAGCAGGCAATTCTGTACCTCCACCACGGGCTCAGGCTGTGATACCAAGCCTATTTCCCCCTCGTGGCCGTTCTGAGGGTGGTTTGATCTCCAGTAATTCAACTTGGAGATGTCACCACAGCAGTCTCCTCCATGTAAACAGCTGGCTAAACATCAGCATATCTCTCCAGCCTGACAGTATACTCAGCATCGGGAGTTTATAGTTCTTCCTCGTCCGTCTCAACATTGGGTGTTCTTGGATTATGAGGAGCCTTTGTATGTAGAGGTTGATTGAAGGGATGACGACCTCGACCTCAATCCCTACTATGATGCCAGCAATTATGTAAGGTCCAAAAGAGTGTGTTATATCTATTTATTTATTTATTGGACTTATATACCGCCCCATAGCGCTACAAGCACTCTCCGGGCGGTTTACAATTTAATTATACAGGCTACACATTGCCCCCCCAGCAAGCTGGGTACTCATTTTACCGACCTCGGAAGGATGGAAGGCTGAGTCAACCTTGAGCCGGCTACCTGGGATTTGAACCCCAGGTCGTGAGCACAGTTTTAGCTGCAGTACAGCATTTTAACCACTGCGCCACGAGGCTCCTCTTCTATATCTATATCCTCTTCTATATCTATACCTCTTCTTCCTCCCCATCACCCACTCCTCCTCAGCGTCGACGTCAAGCTTATTATAAGCTCGACCCTCCACCATCAAAGCTGGCTTCTAAAAGTCATTTATCTCAACAAGACGTTTCTCAGCAAGCAGTTCATCCGTCAAAGCGTTCTCATGTCCCTTCAATACCATCATCCTTATTATCGCAACTGAGAGCATCTCACATCCAGTATTCTTGTCAAGGTGCTTCTTCAAAAATTTCTCATCCACCTGAAACAGACACTTCACCACTGATTCCTCGAGCACCAGCCCATGTATCAAGAAGTCATCGTCACTCACATTCTCCATCTCTTTCTGTTGTGAGGGGTTCTTCAGTATCATCAATCTATGAACAACTCCTGATTCAGATGTTGCTGATCTCCATCCTCTATCTCTATCTGAGGACTTTACATCATACTCGCAGTTGATTCTCCGCATCTCCCTACCAAATGCCCACATGTCACTCCAGAGATTGCAAGTCAACTGATGTGGTGGATGTCTGTGCCTCACTTTTTAGTTGGCCGACCTTTCGCACCTCTCCAGCTGGTGGTCCAAATCTTGACAGATGCCAGTCCAACGGGCTGGGGCGCACACTGTGGGACTCACGAGATCCATGCGCTATGGTCCAGCACAGAGAAGTCATTGCACACCAACCATCTAGAGATGTGGGCAGTTATCAAGACTTTCCGCACTTTCTTTCCTCTCATGGTTGGTCCCAGAGTACAGTTGCCACAGACAACATGACCACTCTGTATTACATCAACAAACAGGGGGGCACC